GTTTGTCTGCAAACCAAGCTTGACAAGGGATGACGGAAAGTCGTTCCAAAATAAATCATTTTATTTGTTACTCAGAAATGAATCGGTTGGTTTTAATTTTTATTTTTTTGCTCGGAAAATAATGGTTATTTTTTGAGTTTTATTTTTTGCTCAGAAAATAATCTTTATTTCTTGAGTTTTATTTTTTGCTAAGATGAAGATGTAGAAGAAGATGGTTATTATGTTTTGAGCAAAAAATAAAACTCAGTTAATAACGATTAAAAAGTGATTTTTATAATAAAAGTTATGACCATTACGGTCCCAGGTAATTTTCCTTTTTTACAACATTAATCGCAACCAAAAACAAACGAAGCATCAACTTTGTTTCTGATGCGCTGATTGCTTTAGTGATGCGTTTCGATAACTTTTCGGATGCGTTTTGGAAGCGTATACGTTGTCAATGTGGTTGTTCACGCTTACCTTGTTATCAGGTTATCTGGTTAAAAATAATTTTTCTGTAGTGTTGTACAACAACAAAAACAACTACGGAAAAATTATTTTTAAGCAGATAACTTGATAACCAGGCAAGAGTGAACAACGAAAATACTTTGCAGTTTGGCGTTATGGAACACTATACATTGTACTGATGCAAAGCAATTGACATTTTGGAAGTCAACCTTGATTGTATTGTTTTTAACATTTTGACTGCTAAATTTGTATGTGCGTACAAGGTTGTGCTTTAAAATTGCGTTCCCTAACTAGCAGTTGTGTTCCCTAGCTCGCAGGAAGTTGCAATAATTTACAGGAATTTACCAGAAAGCGTTACCCTACCCGGTACTCTGGCTTCTCTTGCCTTTTAACAGTTTTACGGGTTTTAGCCCAGAAAAGTTGGGGAACGAAACTAATATTAGCCAATCAAATGGCAGCCAACTGTACAATATAGACGCAGTTTACATAATCAACGTTTAAACTGGCACTGAAAAACTCGCCCTAAATACTGAACATAATTCTCGTTTTCATGCAACCTTCAAAATAACGTATTTAACTTTGCAATTACTTTACGTCCCGTTATAAGTGCGTAACGTTTTGCTCTCTCTTTTTTTCTACCATTATTCGGTGCAAAACACAGATGGCGCGCCGCTTTATTTCTCATTTCTTGATTTTAACTTTCGTAAACATTTACGAAACTGCTACAAAAGCAAGTCGCTTAAAATCTATTTGCTTGCGTGTTTGAATTGAGACAAATGTAGACCGTGGGAAAAGTGTGTAATCAGCGGAGCGCGACTAGTAGCGTATTTATTTAAGGTTCGGTTAAAATGTGGCAGTTCTAAAAATAAACTGCTCCCGTTTAACAAGATATTGTGCTCGTAAACAAGTGTGATAAGCCCCAGCACTCCTATTATATAATAATAAAAAGTTAAATATTTACACACAAAATAAATGTCGCACGCCCTGTCTGCTGATCCGCCGCAGCCAACACTTAATCAAGTAACTGCCCAGAAATATCTACCCACGCCTCATAACCAACAATCTCAGCAGCAATTGCCAACATGTACCTGGGCACTGAAGTACCCAGAATTGCAGAAAGCCTGTTTTTTGGCACGCATATGTGAGGAGAGGCCTCCTCTCCACTGTCAGCTGCGCAATGTATCTGTTATCCTACAAGAGGGGCCCACCTGTGGGCTCACTGCACTAAGCATGCTTGTGGGCGGGACTCCTACAGCACACGAGCTCTTGCAGGTGGCAAGGGAGCTCCAATATACCAACAATGGCGAGATGTTTAGTGCACAAAATTTATTCAAACTTATATGTGATACTCTTGAATCGGCAAATTGCACGGCGGCCTACGCGATAAATACATTAAAAGAAAGCACGAATGCTACGTCGACGGCGAAAACGATTGCCAAGGAATGCAAGAATGTGTTGGCGGCAGCGGAATGTGAATTGCATCAAGGTCCACTCGACTGTGCCAAGGTCAGAGCAGCACTAGAAGCAGGCGCTTGTGTTTTTGTTCCGTATCCTTTTCAAACGAATTTTATTACAGCGTTGGTAAGCCGTTAAGGCATTTGTAACATTTTAAAACGAAATGTTAAGTTACTCCTTACATAATTTTTAGAAAATAGGTTATTACATTTCATTCGAGATTTGTTTTTCTTTCTGCTTGTATTGTTTTGTTTTTGTATAAAAGCAAAAGCATTTGTTTTGCAACTTTACTAAACAGCTGATTTGCGTTTGGCAATCGGTTTGACATTTGATAGACGTCGGATTGACATTTGCGCTTATTTTTGCTTGTATGATCTTTCCACCAAATTGTCGGGAAGGACTTGCTAATTTCTGATTATTAATATATTTTCGTCCATAAAGAAGGGTAAATTGGTGCAAAATGACAACCGAAGAAGAACAAGTAAGTATTTAAAAAGATTTCTGTAAATTCCATTAACTAACCTCACTTTTTGCCGACTAGATACAAGTGCTGCCGGTGAAGGAACCGCTGGACCTCATTCGGCTCAGTCTGGACGAAAAGGTGTACGTAAAGATGCGCAATGAACGAGAACTACGAGGACGTTTGCATGTAAGTAAAAAATTAACACTATAGCGGTTCCTTTCGGCAGAAAAATGTTTCCTTCTCATCATGCTTCAATAATTAATATCATTATTGAATCATGCCTTCTCATAGCGCACAAATGCTATGAAAAGGGAAATGAAAATTTATTTCTCTAACGGGTGATTTTTTTGAGGTTAGGATTTTCATGCATTAGTATT